GGTCCCAGCCAGCACTACCATGTGTCTTCCCAGCTGCCGTGATTTAACGTCATCTTTAATCATTAATACGTTGCAGACACTTGGCCTCCCAGCCCCAGAGATGCCACGGGGGTCAGGCAGGGTGCTGTGGGTACCTGCCCCGCGCTCCCAAAGGCAGGGGAGGAGGGCAGGGGAGTGCTCTCAGCAAAGGCACCATTCAGCATCTTGGGGGCCTGGGTCCAGCCGAGATCATCCTCCCTGCCTTCAGCTGCAGCACTCAGGGGTTGGACTAGATGACCTCTAGGGGTCCCTTCCAACCCAAAACATTCTATGATTCCATGATTCACCAAAATGCCATCGATGCTACAAGTCCTCATTTCCCAACAGTCGTCTTATTAACAAAAAGCAAAATTAACCAGGATTTCACGTACGTACTGCAACACCGTGCCTCCTCCTCTTGACTTGCTCAGCCCCTGTGGCTCTGCTGGGGACCCCCTTCAGCACCCCGGCATTCCCATCCCCACCCCAGAGTGGGCAATAGCACATGGCCCACGGGGCTGCCTCCTGCCTGGGCACGGAGCGCTCGGCACCGGGGAACGGGCACATCCAGGGATGCCAAGTGCCATTTGCACGGCCCCGTGCTGTGTGAGCACACAGGAGTTCTCCATAGCAGAGCCAGGGTCAGGGAGCAGCAGGGGGGGGCTGGTGTGGGGGTCCCAGGAGAGGCAAACCCCTGGTCTGTGACCCTCCGAGGGCCGAGCAAGGGGGAAGGCACGGCCACCCCCAGTAGATCGCAGCCCTGGCTGCCCGAGGAGGGGCCTGGCATGGGGCAGCAGAGACTCAACTCTGCTGTTTCTGTCTCTGGGAGAGCAATAAATAAATCTGTGGGAGGCAACGGTGGGATGAGTCAGAGGCAAGAGAGAGAGAAAGTCATCTCCTGGGGAGCACATTACCCAAGTCCAGCACGCCGCGGTGCTCCAGCACCAAATGAGTATTCAGCTCCGGGGGCATCTTCATCCTGCTCGAGCTCCCCGACCACCCCCTGCCAGGAGGGCGATGGGGGACAGCCCTGCCGGCAGGAGCCTTGGCCATGGCTGGGGGGCTGCAGCCCCATCCCCAGGGCACCCCCAGGTCCATGCAGCTGGAGCACAACTGGATCCATCCAGCACCATGGGACCTGGAGAGGATGGGCTGGGACATTGCACGAGCCCCAGGACCTGCAGTCGGCTCCAGTTTCCCTCCACAACCTCAGGCAAGCTTTGCGTTTTTGGGTTCATCACGCATACACGCACATGCACCCCCATCAGCCCCAGGGCAAGGAGCTCCCCAAAAGAAATGCCCCAGCTTGCTGCCCAGCATCGCTGCAGCTACAGAGCGGCCGTGGAGGCAGGCACGGCAACACCTGATCCGCTCCCAGTTGCAAATATTGTCAAAGCACGGGCTGAATTTAATCAAAGCAGAGCTTGATTCAGGACTCAAACACTTTGGCTGTTTTCCGTGTCAGACGAATTTCCTGTGAAATCTGGATTTGCCAGGCACAATCACAGCCCGTGCCTAACTTCAGGGAACGAAAGGGCACGGCCAAGTAGCCTGCACGGCCCGCTGTGAAAATGAGTAATGAGGGGAAAACTTCTGGTCCACTGCAAAGTAGGCAACTTCTCTGTCAAGTTGACATTTTGGCGGGGAGGCCACCTCTCGGGAGCCCCGTGGCCTCGCAACTCGAGGTTTTTCGCAAGCTCACGCTCTCCCTATTCAGCTTATATTTAGCTCGGTGTTTCTGCGGCTGAACGCAGCACTTACAGAACACACAGAGGGTTTGAGCTGTCTTTCTCAAGGCATATAGTGGTAGTTACCTGTCAAAGCTGTCATTAAACTCAAGAAGCAATAATCAAACATACCCATACAAAAAGATAGAGCTCTCTAACTCCGAGACTGATGTATGCAAAGAAAAAAAATGAATGGTAGGAACTTGGCTATAAAAACATGTTTTTAACCTAGTCAACCGAGCCATTAAATGGGAAGAAAAGACGCCCTCATTTGTGTACCCGGAGCGGCAAATCTATTTGTCTGGTGTGTCAGCCCTCCGGTCTGTTAGCTTGTTTTTAAGCTTTCTACTTATGTTTAACACCTGAAGGGATGTTAAATATCAAAACCCAAACGAAACGCACACTGTGTAACTCTTCTAAAACCTCCTCTGCCGTCACCGCCCAAGCCTCTTGGAGAACTTAAGGTGAAGAATCGCCTGCAAGAGCTGAATCATCTCTTTAAGCAAAAACATCGCTATTAGATGACTAAGACCAAAACAATTGTCTCCCTTTATTTATTGCAACTGATGCTGTTATTAAAATCCAGACATGTCCCTTCCCAGCTCCTCATACGATCAGGTCTTCGTGCACTGGTGGAAACACTGCAAAAGGCAGGTGGTGAATAGCAGGGACCCTTTGGGCAGGGTCCCAAACACTGGGAGGGCGCTTTGTGCTCCCAGGAGCACCCAGCTGGGGACTGGGGGGGGTGCCAGAGGGTGCCTTCTGGCAGGGGTCATCTCCGACCCTCAAAATAAGACAAGGGGCCACGCAAGGGCATGGGGAACGCCTCATGGAAAGAGGCCGTTCGTTGTGCAAGGAAAACTGCCTGCCTAGAGGTGGGCTACGCAGATGGGATCCGGCACATCTCTGGAGCAGGAGCAATGGAGGGATTTGCCAGCCTGCCTGTGGGAATCAACCCGGCTTTTGGGAAGAGCCTGGGAGCCGGGGGGACCATGGCAGGGATGGAGAGGGGTGTCCACCCTGCATGGAGCAACCACATGGACACCTGGGGCAGGCAGAGCTCGGGCTGTTATACTGGAGCAGATTTATTAGCCTCTGCATTTTCATGAAGCGGAGTTGAGCAGAACTGAAACAAGCCAGGCTCCGCTTCCCCCCTTCCAAATGTTCACAGCGTCAGGAGGGAAGCCAGAAGACTTTAAGAGACATTTTAAGCAGCAGCGGGTACAGCAGCTCCCCTGCAGCACATCGCAGTGCAGCTGCCCGCCCCACAGCACCGGCCCCAGGTCCATCCTGCTCAACAGCAGCTCCCACCACCCCACGGGCATGTCTGCTTTTATCTTCGGGTATCACAGAAGTTCAGGGCCCTGCCCGCTCCAAAAAAAAATAAATCAAACCCAAACTCCCAACCTCCTTCAGTCTGAACGCTCACTGTTCGCATGGTAGGTCAAGTTGTCTACAGCGTTACTGGTACATCCCTGCTCCTGTAATGAGGTTTGCTTGGACATAAAACTTAAGAAGAACATGAAAATATCTTACATAAAGCAAATTATAGCCCTGTGGCTCAGGAAAACCTGCTCTCCCATTTTTTTTCCCCCCCTAACTTACACCCACAAGATTTTTTCAGGGCTTAAGTGAAGCTGCAGGAACAGCACTCCCTTTCCCCAGACCGACCTGACTTCAGCCACTCCAGGGTCCTGAATTCACTCTTCTTCTGGAAATTCTTGGATCTCACTGGGAGTGAGATTTTCCCTGCATGCGTTTGACTTGACCCATCTGAACAGGGAGAGAAGGTCACACCTAAGCTGCTGTGCATTACGCTTGCCTGAAGCCTGAGTTTTAAAGGCGGTGGCGGGATCACCTCCAGGCAAACTCCCTGGAAGCGAGGGGGTTTCTGGCACTCCAGATCAGTTATTTTACCCTTCAGCAGTCTTTTCCTTTCTGTTCCTCAGCTTTCTCCCAGGGGGACTCAGCCAGGCTCTTCGGATAAACAAATCCCACGTCCGAGAGCTGCCCGCGCCCTGGCTGGGGCTGGATAGCGTAACCCTTCCCCAGCCGATATCGGCGACCGTTTGAAGTTCCTGCTGCCACCACAGAGCCGTGCTAAAGAAATGACTTCAGAAGTACTGCGAGCACCACGCTGGGCGTAACTGCAACGGGGATGATACACATGTGGGTTTTATTATTATTCTAAAAACGCACGATTGGGAAAGCCAATATTTTTAATGGAAGTGGTTTCAAATGCTAGTATTTATTTGCTTATTAAATGGTTTCGCTGGAGACAGAGCATCTTCAAAGGAGGAATTTTTTTTCCCCCCAGAATGGGTATCTGGGGCCATAGCACTATATTATTATACAGAAAAAATATTGCCTTATTAGCTTTTTATTTCAGAGAACGCATTTAACTGACATTTCCCGTGCTGACAGCTTGCCAAGCTTCAAAGCGCAATTTCTGCAAGGATTATAACGACCGTGAGCCTGGTCCAGATGAAGCTGTATCCCAGCTGCCACACAAGCTCTGGGAAAGGAGTTTTTCCCAGTTTTGGAGAGCCTAAAGATGAGGTCCGTGTTGGGACGCACGGGCTGTGTGTGTTTAGGCCGTCTTACAGGGGGGCATGATGCACTTCCAAGCTGTGACTGCATTTTGGAGACCTGGTTTCTTCTGTAATTCCAGTGGCTTCCTACAGCAGTGCAGATCTCCCAGCAGGTGTGGGAAAGATCTCCCAGTCCTGCCACAGACCCATGGGCAGGGCTGGGAGAGCTCAGGGGCCCAGCCAGAGCTGGAGGATTAACCCTTGCCAGAAATCAAAGCTCTTCTCCATCTCCCTGGGGCATTTGGCTGCAGCAGGCTCCCCAAAGGATGCTTCAGGGAGGATTGCAATGGTCAGAGCATCGCACCCTGAGCAAGGCACATGGTGAAGGCAAACCACAGCAACGCTGCATCCTCCTTGCACCCGTTCACCCAAGGATGCAGTAACAGAAATGCACCCTTACCTTCAAAAAAATCTTTCCAAAATAAACAAAAAAAAAAAGAAATCACAATCTCTCTGCTCTCACACGGAGGCTGGACTTCCCACGCTTGTGCTGATGAAGGCTGATGCCTCCCACCACAATTTGCCCATCAAACAGCATCGCCATCCACCCCCTCCGCCCCTTCCCGGGGGCTGCTGGGGACCCACAAGCCCCTCTCCCCCCCTCAGCGCTCCACAGGCCCCACAGCTTGCGGACCTGCTGCCAAACCCAACTCTCACCCCCGCTGACACCTCCATCCTGTTTGTGGTGCCTTTGGCATTTCCCCCTCCAGCACTTCCAGTCCCCTGTGGCTTCCCCAAGCCAGCCAGCTCCAGCGCAGCCCACGGCTGGGCCAGCATTAACACACGGTGGCCTCGGCTGAGCCGGAGCCTCCACTGAAGGCAGGAGCCTGTCCAGGGATGGATCATGGCAGCTCTTCACCAGCACACACAACCACAACAGCATAAATCCCCGTAGTCATTCAGAACCACGGAACAACATTGTGTGGACAGAAAGCAAAGGACCAAGCTAACACAGCTCATTGGGGTTCACATCCCCGCTTCAGTAAACGGATGCTGGAGGGGCAAGAGGGGGGAGGGACACACACCAAAACATCCCCAGCCTCCTGGCCACAGGCCCTCTGGATGAGCAGCATCAGTGCCCCTGCACAGCCCCTCCTCGTGCCTCGCTCCCAGGGGCCCACCGAAAAACAGGCCTGGTACTAAGTGATGCCCTGAACTTCCTCAGCTCCAGGAGCAATCAAGAGAGCCAAGCGAGGCGCCTTGCCGGGAGTGGGGTCACAGCTCCCACAGCTCCAACGCCAGCACAGGGAAAGCCACTTGGTACCCCCCTCCCTGCTCAGCCCACTCCCCCCATGCTAGAGACAGCCTGGCCCAGCAGTGCCCATGGCCTTCGGGCGACCTCCACATCCATGGGGACCCCACACAAGGCAAACCCGCAAGTTCACGCCCCAAACCTCCATCTCAGGAGATGCAGAGTGCTCAGTGCAGGGGTCAACTGCCCTGGATGGGGGAACCAACACCAAACTGACACAGCTGTAAAAAAAAAAACCAAACCCAAAACCAAATTGGCAGACCTAGCACAGCTTCACAACAGTACCAGAGGCCCCCTTTTACCAAGCAAGCCATAGCAGTTGCTTCACTTTATTTCTCAGAAACCCAACCACAAGTGTCAGGAATTACTAAAGGGAAAGGCTAGAGTTTTGCTTGCTTTGTGTTTTATGCAGCTGCAACACGATCGTCCCCTGGGATCACCTTTCCTCCCCGCAGGCAGGTGAGGTGGAAGCCATAGTCTCTGGGTACTGGGCAGTAACTGGATCCTGCAGACCCAGATACAGACGCTGCCCCGTAAGCCTCTGCCGGGGAGAAACTGCCTCTGCTGTGAACACAGACCCTGCTGCGGGGAGAACTCCCCCCACCATGCAGGTAAGTCCTTCGGCTTGTTGCTCAGCGCAGCACGGAGGCTGGCATGAGGCTGTTCCTCTGGGACAACAGCTTCTCTTTGGCTCCTTACCCTGCCAGCTTTCACACGGTGTCGTCAGGCCAAGCACCAACGGCTCTCCTTTGAGGACACATTAACCTTACAGGTCCTCGTTAGCATCTCAGGCCTTCGGTAACAGGTTAAAAACAGTCAGAAAATATTAATAGCGAGTTATTCCTCAGTATTTGCATGCATGGACGTGCAGAAAGAAGCCTTCTAAACTACAGCGTGGTAATGTCCTTCTCGCTTGGGATCTCGCTGTACCACAAGCAGCAGGGCTGCTGAGGTTTCTAGGAGGAAGAGAGCCTTACACTAAGAATACAAAGACCACAGTCTAAAAGTCGTGATTGTTTTGCATGAATATATTAGAAAAACAAAGAAAAGCCTTTCTGTTCTAATAGCAAGAGATTTCAGTGTCCATGTCTTCTCCTCCCCAGCTGACACTCTGCAGGCTCCGGACTCACCAGTGGTGCTTCATTCTCTTCAATGTCTTGCTTTTCCACATACTGCTTTTTGGGGCGGATTTACTGGAGGAATACTTCCTGCGGTCATTGCCTCTTTCTTACACTGACGCAAAGGCGCTTGAAATCCGGGAGAGGGCCAGGAAGCTAGATAGGGATCCCCTGAGGGCCAACCTCTCTTACGCTGTCAGCAGTGCAGCAACATGCTCCCATCAAGAGATATTTTTGCTCATTCTCATCTTCAGTAGCCCAGAAAACAGGACAAGGCGCGACGCGATCAGGCAGACATGGGGCAACGTGACAGACACCCGAGGTTATGCTCTCCTTGCTCTGTTTGCGTTAGGAAAGCCAGCTTCAGTAACCACCCAGCTGGAGATCAATGAAGAGTCTCAAAAGCACAGAGACATTATTGAAGGCAGTTTCATTGATTCTCCCGAGACGCAGACACAGAAGATGTTGATGAGTGTGGAGTGGGCAGTGACTTTCTGTCCCCATGCAAGGTATATTCTTAAAACAGATGAAGACATGTTTGTCGGTATTCCAAGTCTGGCTGGATACCTGCTCAGCTTAACCCAGCTAGAGGACATTTACGTTGGGAGGGTTGTTCATCAAGGAGCGCCCGACAGAGACCCCGAAAGCCCTGGCTTCGTTCCCATCCATCAATACTCACAGGAGTTTTACCCCGATTACTGCGACGGGAGCGCTTTCGTCATGTCCCAGGACGTCGCTCGCAAGGTGTACGTGGCCGCCACGGAGGTGCCAGTTTCAGTGCCCCCCGATGTCTTTGTCGGAATCTGTGCTAAAAAAGCCGGCATCGCTCCCATTCACAGCTCTCGATTTTCTGGGGAGAAGCACATCAGCTACAATCGATGCTGCTATAAATTCATTTTCACCTCTTCCAACGTGAAAGAGGACGAGTTATTTCAAGACTGGAAAGAAACAAACGATGGGGAAGATTGCTCATTACTCGAAACTTACTACGGCCTGGTGTCCTGCAAGGTTTTGACCTATATTGATAAGTTCAAACAGTTCAACTTAGACAGAATTAAAAATGAGGTTCTTCATTTCACCAATTAACTCTTCCGAAGAAAGTCTGCATTTTCTTTTACCAGCTGTTTTATCCTGTTAACAGCCAGTAATAACGATCTCCTCTCAAAGTTAGCTCTCTTCCCTCCAACAGCAAACGAATTCTCAGTGCTCTAGTGTGGGAGTGGATGTACTCTAGCTACCGATCTACCTGCAAGTGCATGCATACAAGTTAAAAAAACCAAAAGTATTCCAAGAAACTGTCTGTATCCAGTCCTCTACCTTATGCCAAAACCCCTTCTGTGTTTTTATCTGAGTGAGGCATCACCTACTTCCAAATATTTTGTAACGAAAGGGAATCTTTCCATCCACAAAAAGGAGCTACTTCCGAGCCGCCTGTTTAACAGTACCAGTGAAGCTACCGAACAGCTTAGAGTGGGAACAGACATTGAACCATCGTGGGAATGGCTTGGGTAAACAGCCCGGGGAGGTTCTAGGCAAGAAATCCACCCTACCTGTTGAAGGATCCTGTATTTCTGTCAGTCATGGCATCAGAGAAACACCGACACAAGCACCTCCATGCCGTTACACACACCACAAATCCACCAGTGTACCGGTAACACCAACCTTACTCAAAATGCAAAAATTCCCCAAATTAGGAACCGGCCTCAGAACACAACCTCACCCATGCCTGCACCCTCCGGGTTAACTCTCCCGCATCAGCTCTTTCAGCAGCAGGAAGACTGGCCAGACAGATCGGTTCTACGGTTGCGAGGCACGCGCGGACCTTTGCAGGTCCCACCGTGACTGAAGGGACAGGGAGGTGCGCTCCGAAGGATCCACCGTTCGTTCTTCAGTACCACGCTACGCTGCTTGTTAACCGGGGTCAAGTGACGAGCTTTGGGTTTGGGGGGGGTTTGGTTATTTTATTTATTTATTTTTTTTTTTAAACAGAGTTCAAGTTCAGCACATTACCTCAATTCTCATTTTTTCTCAATTATCTCCACCTGTTACTTCACGGGGGAAGGAGGACAGGGACAACATGCTTAAATTTTCCCACTGTACCCGACACACCAGCAGCAACATGTAAACCACACGGCAATACACAGGATGGGTAGGGAACTACATGTGAATAATAAGAGGTAAGCGTCTGATCAACTAATGGGAATGTTGAGCTCAAAGCTCAACAAAATAAAGCATATGTGCATATATAAAAAATCCCCTTGTTTGGCATCTCTGTGTGTTCTAAAATATTGTATTTGGCAAACATACCATGCAAAGCAGATGCTAAAGACTTTGCACACAGAGTAGCCTTCAAAAGCAACAGCTGAAAACACACACGGGAGAGACTCATGAATTGCAGAAAAGGTTTATATATTGATTTCTTTTACTGAGATTTTAGTATACAGCTCATACAGAGCTACCAGTGCACAAAGCCACCTAAAATAACAAAGCTGAACTGTCCAATACAAGTGCAAACTCAGGACATCTATACTCTTTGGTTTCCTTTTTAATGCTTTCATGTTTTTTCTGGATGCAGGAATCACGAAGCTTTTGCGCTCCCTCCGCTCACAAACGAGACGCTGCGCACCGCATTTCTCACTTAGCAGATGTTTATTATGCACATCTAGGATGAAAGCGTCAGCAGTAGTGTAATGCTGGATGACAACTTTTGTACATAAGAGATCATAAGCAGCAAGGCAGATCACCTGCATTCAGAGAGCTTATTAAACATTAAGGGATCTTCCCCAACTGCCCCGCTCCTCTGAGTCCGCTTTGACACCTTGCCAGCAATTTTTGGCAGGCGATACCATCACCTCCACCGCAGCTCAAAGCTACTACAAGCGAGAAAAGTGTTACTGCGCGAGTAGATCATCCCACTTCACTTGGCAGAGCGGGGACACGGGGCGAGTACTTTCCACAGAGGCAATGCCTGACCTGACACACTACGAAAATAAGCCCAGAAGTATTATGTTTATTATGCTACTCCCAGCTATTCCTCAGATTTGTTTCTTAATGTCCTCACCAAAAATAATATAAACCTTTTGTCTAAAGTACACTATGGTCTCTGTTTTATGGACCAAGACACATCAGATGCCACTAGAGCATCCAGCTAGTCCTGCATCTCATCCGCAGCTCGCTGCCCACCTCCGGAGGAAGATACACGGCGTCGTAAGGTACTGCATTTCCATATTCCTAATGCAGTCCACGCCCTTAAACAGGAAAGCTTTGTCTTCTTGCCCCTTTTATTCTAACTCAAGCAACTAAAATTATACTTTTTTTTTTTAAATAACACTTACAATTAAAAAAATTTCTCTCTGTTAAAAAATAGTGTAAACAATTTAAGATTTGGTTCTGAAGTAGCCTTGTAGTGCTACAGCTCGTGCTTCCTTCTGAGCAAGTAAACTGAGCTGCCATACAAAGTCGCATTCAACAAGTGAGACAAAGCTCCCTGTGCTGTTTTATACACTAGAGCTTGCATCCGTTTGTTTTTAAAAGGGCTAAGAGCTTTTTTTTCATCCTCAGCATAAAATGTAAACAATATTTAGGATTATTTATTCAAGCAAGGCTTACATCCAGCAAGCTGAAAACAGAAGAGAATCCAGTTCGTACTCCCTCAAATGGACAGAACATTACTAGCTTATTCTTACCAACAGGGTTTCTGACAGAATATGACTGGATAAAAGAGTATGTTCCATGCAAGTACCAAGTTTGGCAGATATAAAAAAAATTTTAAAAACCCAGAAACTATGGCAGCATCTGAGGTTACAAACCTCAAAGTGTTTTGGTGTTGGTTTTTTTAATTGAACTGTGACCTACTGAGAAAACACGATAGGAACTCCAAACCCAAGAACAGTTTAACTGAACAATGATAATTCCTGCAAAATAAAACAGTCAGCAGTTGACAGAGTGCTTACCTGGGTTACTTGTTTCACGACAGCACACAGAGAGCTTCTGCCATGACATTCTATGGGAAATTATGCTGTGCCCTATAGGTTTTGGTTTGCTCTCAGACTCCCATCTCAAATAGTCAAAGTGCTTTACACTCCTTTAAAGGGACAATCTAAAGGGACTCCAGGGTGGGGAGTCTTGACACCTTATATCTTAACACCTATTTCAGTAACGTGGCTTGCAGGGAGGGGAACCGAGACATCAGTGACATTATTCTGCTCCTTCCACAGCTGTAGTAGAAACTGCCTTAACATAATAAGGGCCTTCATGCAGGTAAGCCCTGAGCCTCAAGTAATACTGATTTCCAAAGATTTCCGCGATTGTTTTAGAGTTTACGAGGGCCTTAACCAGTTCATATTTGGCATCCTTCGAAGCTTTGTCAGGCTCCACAGATCTATCCACAATGTACTCCACAAACCCTGGACTGGCAAGCATCAACTTCTGGGCCCATGGTTGATTTGCGATAGCCTAAACACGAAGACAAAGTGAGGGGAGAGGGGGAAACGCCTCATTTTAAAAACAACAACAAAAAAACCCCCAAGTCACACAGTAGGCTGTTATGCAAATAGCCAAGGAACAGGAAAAAAATGAAATGGGGTATTCATGCTACACAATAGTTACACAACCACCACAAATCAAGCAGCAGAGTTTAACACTGGAAAACAAGTACAGCACGGTGCTTATCTTTAAAGTTTTAAGTGAATTATCACAGCAGGGCCTCTGATATTGAAGCAGCGTGCTAGAGTATAGCTGTTGCTTTCCCCCCCCCCCTCCAATTTATAAGAAAATAAGCATTACAGACATGACATGCCTGCTGTGTTATTTAAATGGTGGATGCAAGCGGGGCACAATGAAAAAGGCCTTATTTCCAACCACTTCAACAAGAAGTTTGTGGCATTCACTTAAAATCTGAGACAGTGTCAATACAATTCCCACCTGATCGTTAAAAACAGGAAGCACTTACAGTAAATACCCGTAAAGCCCCACAGTGGAGATCAGGGAATGGCTGAGTACTGATGCTCCTGAAGAGTTCCAAGGGCTGGCTAGACAAGGACGTGAACCATGATTCAGTCATTCTTAAAAGGTCTTCCGTCTGCTGCTCTGGCTACACGCATCAGAGAAACGTACAGAAATGAAAGAGTTTGGTTAGGATTATGAAAAGCTTTTAAGTTTTGAGTATATGTTCAATAGTTAAGGAAATTACTTAAAACAAACCACCAGCAGATTAAGCTGAAATGGTTTAAATTTCCAACTTATTTTCAAGAATGAAGAAATGGCGTTCTAGGTCTCATTTAGCTTGGAGGACAGATTTAAATAAATTCATTTTGACACACAAGACAAGTGCTATGCTGGAGCACTGTCCTGCAAGACAAGTGAAAATGGCTTACTTAGGAGCTACACTATTAAAACCACATCACTGGAGCTAAAGAACATACACAGGGATTAGAGCAGTTTGACATTATCCCTTTAAAGCACAGGATATTAAGCTGTTTACTCTCATTCCCTTGCCAATGCCATCTTGACTTCATGTTTTATAAACAGATTTCAGAACACCTGGCTTCTTACAAACAAACTCAAACTTTAAGCAAACAAATAAATCAGGGAAATTCAAAACAGTAAAGTTAATGACTCAGAATACTGGAAAGCTACCACTTCTACCTAAACTAGATGCTGCAAAAGGTCTTCACACAATTAGTCAGATGCATAATAATTTCATTCTTGTAGATATTAAAAAAAAAAAACAAACCTCTAAAAGACAAGGACAACAAACCAAACCACAAACTCACAGGCAAGTGAAGAAGAGATGAAATTGCATCCAAGCATCGAAGTCGTAACTCCGTGGGCGCATTCTTTGCCTGGTGCCCTATTCTGTTTAACAGATTTTGAAATCTACTTCCTTTGAAAATAAAAACAAAAGTGCTTTTAATTAATTCAGATAGGCCACTACAGGAGTACAAAGTTACCCGTCAGTCACATTATGCTACATTGACTGGTAGAATGAATGTTGTACATTAAACCCAAGAAAGGCAACTTCTTGACGTACTATAATAAAAGCAGTCTAAAATTCTCTTTCCTTCATACAGATCCAAGATAGACAAATCCAAAGCTTTTATGTTAATCCTCCAGACTACCCAAACATTTCCAAAAAGGAAGTTGTGTGTCATGGATAATCGAGTTATCTTGGGAAGTGTGGACCCTAGTACACTTGTAATTAGCAATCTTCAATCCCATTTGCCAATACTCCAATAGCTATGTGCCAATACAGATTTTTCACTTAAAAAGCAAAGTTCAGACTAGCAGCAAGAAGTCCAGCACCTACTTTGAATCCTCTGAACAGTTTTATATTAAGAGAAACAATGCAGTCTTTACAGAAGTACCATTACATGATAGTTCATATTTTTCTAATCCCAGGGAGAAGGTTGTAACATCAGTAGAAACAGAGGAATCTAAAATAACACAACTACTGATGGTTCGTATGATGCAGCTCACTAGGAAATAATAATTTGAATCACGCTTGCAATACCAGAATTCTAGCTGCCAGGTATTTTACACTGCCATGCCTGGCAAGACAGTCTAACACCTTATCTGCTATTCAGACACCCTTGATTATTAGATAAATAAATATATTTTTCAATTCCTTTCTCTATTACACCAAACCAATTCACTCTTGTATATTATGACATACCGAGAAAGCTTTATTAAAGAAAAAAAATGATACTAACTAGTTTTCTGTAAAACCTGTTTGCCTTCCACATTCGATCCCAGGATTCCCAACGTGTCCACAGCCACTCCAATCATGGTTGGATCATGACTCTCTGCCATTTCAAAGACTTTTTCCATAAAGACAGGGTATTGTTCACAGATCTGCTGCGGACTGTCCACAACAGCCAGATTTCCAAAAAATTTAACAAATCCTGAGAGAACAAGACCAAAAAAAAAGCATTCAGAGTGGAGGAACTTTAGCAGTAAGTTTAACAATGTCAAAATTAAACATATATTAACATAAGATTGTTTCACTGCTAAACTAGTGTTATTAAGTCTGAATATTGTTTATGAAAAGCAACAGAATAAGGACAGAACTAAGGAACAAGCCAGTATTTTGGAAGCTACTTAATTCATGATGTAACAGCTGTCTTCTTGACTTCATTAAAAAAAGGCTACAGTAACACAAACTTCAAACATACAGTACAGCCTCTCCGGATCTTACCTGTACTACCACTGTTATTGAGTAATATTATTCATGTATTAGATTGCCTTTCAGCATTTTTTGTATACTTCCAACATATATGTTCTAGAATTCAGAAGTTTACATAAGCTTTCAAAACAGAGGCTTAATAGCCCTCTCAATTTAGCTCATCAATAAAAGCAAGCAGTGAACACTGGAAACAAGGAACGCATGATGTAACCTGGTAAATAGAAGCCCGAGAAAGGATC